GCTCCTGCTCAACATGCTCATAGCTTTTCGACTTGTCCTTTCTGTGTTATTATTATGACGCAGAAAGGACAAATAAACAATTATTTCAAAAGCCCCAAAAATTCAAAATATTTTTTCCACCAAACACTGCCGTAGGAGACAATGTGATAATGCATGTTAGCCCTTAATGACCAAAGTGGAGGGCACCATTGTTAAAGGCAATGTTCCTTTTATTTTTAATTTTTAAGAAATGGGCAAAAGAGAGAGAAAGAAGTCAGCTGTGTGGTTGACTTGCCCCAGAAAGTGAGGAAAATTTAGAGGTGGGTAAAGGGGGAATTAATCCTCCTCCTGAGGATTCTATGTTAATGGATTTTCTGCTCTCTCTCTCTCTCTCTCTCTCTGTTGTCGCATGTGGTTTGTGGGATTCAAAAGAAGAGGTGAAATGAAAAGTAGAATGTGTCAGGGGTTCATAGTTGATGTTCTTTTTTAAATTGTGGGGAGAAGAGGAATAACTTTGCATCTTAAAAAGAAGGAGCATTTTCCTTTTAAAAAAGTTGGCCTTTCTTGAAACAAGTTAGTGGAAATAAGCAAACTCCACTTAAAAGCACAGAATCATTCATGTTGGCCCTTCAGATATGGGCTAGGGCTACTACACTCCATGCACTGTGGTTTATCTCTTTTCAAAATTTTACCTATTTTTTACTTTATAATAAATTTAAATACTTTTTCACATTTAGTCAAATATTAAAAATTTTTGAATAAATTTAAATTATTTATTTTAATATAAATAATTCAATCCATTTCAAGCTGAAGATCGAATCCCACTAGCTGACTCCAACTAAAAATTTGTTGTTATTGAGGGAGAGAGAATCATTTGATGCCTCCATTCTCTAGCTGGCAATTCTAATGGGGAGAAATTCTTTCACAGCTTGCATGCATGCGTATCTCCATTAGTGTTTTTAGCCTAACTGATGCCACTCTCACAGCCCACCATTGGATGGAATAGAGAAGAAAAGGATGCCATACGTGGACAAAACCACTAATGTCTATTTGGATATGATTCCATGTTTTTGAAAACAGGAAAAAAAAAACTCTATAATTGCTCAAGTTATTTTCTAAAATAATTTTTGAGAATTCTATAACATAAATTTTTGTTATTTTCTAAAAATAATTTTAAAATAAATTTATTTTTAGATATAAAAATGAATTCATATCTAAATATTTTAATGAAAATCGTTTTTGACGACAACTTTCCAAGAGGGTTTTCTGTTTTAGTAAACAAAAGAAATCAGTTTAGGAGAAAATTCCAAATAGATATACCTTAATATTCCAAATTATGCATGTCTAATTATGAAAAATAGTGGAGTCTTTTGAACTCCAAACTGGCATGTCCTCACTTCCTATAGTGGATTAAGGTCAAACTAGAATTTAGAGGGCATATTATCCCACAGAATATTTTGTTTTTATATAATTGTTTTCTTAATTATTGGGAATATATGCTCTCACCATGCACCATACGTAGCACTTTACGTCATCACTTACCTTAGCTTTGTAATTTCAATATCTTAAAGAGGATAAGAAATAAAAAGAAAAATTTTAAATATTTATTTTTATGAAAAGGAATCAATTGACACCGAGTGTAAATATAAAAGATTTACACCAAATCTTACACTGTTGATTTGGTCAAAATCAACGGATGAGATTAATTACAACTGATTTAAATACAAATTAATTATTAAAAATTAAATGTAAATTAATTATTAAAAATTATTATAAATACAATTTAATTATTAAAAATTATTGAAAAATAGCTGTAATTAATTTTATCCATTAATTTTGATCAAATCAATAGCGTAGAATTTGGTATAAGCCTTTTACACTTACACCGGTGCAATTAATCCCTCTTCTATTTTTATAATTAAACCCGATACTGTTTTTAATGAAACAAAAAGTAAGAAATAAATTGAAAATTTTTTGTCCATTTTATTTATCTACAATTTTTTCTTTTCTTTTTATTTTTTTGGCAAATAAAAGGATGACCCAGAGATTATGTAAATTCTGGTGCTAGATTGTGAAATTTAATTTAACTTGGGAATTTTCTCAAGCCGCATAATGAAAAGTGGGTCTATGTCGAAGCAAATTCAACTTGATGGGTTTTTTTGGAAAGAATCTGACAATGCTTACTGTAATTGATATTTTGAAATTTTGACCAATCAATCATTCTAGTGTAAGGAAATTCAAAAGAAATATTCTCTAATTAGTTCTTTTATTTCAGCGGAGAATAATATCTTCTTATTATCTGGAAAGTTCAACTCGTTCTGCCATTTTCTAGCATTTGTAAATAGTTGGAACACGTTTAGGTGGTTTCGGTTTTTGTCTGAATTGACAGCTTTTCTAGGAAATTAAAAATTTATTTGTGAAAATACTGTCGTATGAAACTTCCTATAAATGACAGAAATTTGATTTATTTATTTATTATATATATGTGTGTATATATATATATAAAGTCAAAAAATTACATATATTTTTATGTTTTAACATAAAAATGACGAATAAGTAAAAAACTCATCTTTTAAAATATTGTAAAAACTCATAAAACCAATTAAAAAAAATACAAACATCACCAAACATCTTTTGTAGTTAAGTAATAGATATGATATAAAAAATAAGATATTCTTATATTCATGAAATAAAATTAAATTCAAATTTATAAAAATAAATATTTGAAAAGAGACAATTATATTACTCTAAGTGGAATTAATTTTAAACTGTAAAATTGATGAATATAATTAAAATAACTTAAACAACGTCTTCTTTTAATCATGTTAAGATTACAGTGTCTGAGTTTTAAATTAAAAAGAAAAATAAACAAATATCTTAGAAGCTGGCATTTTCAATTTCTCTGTTAAAGAGGGAAAAGTAAAAGAAAATGGAGAGAGATATAGGGCGGAAAATTTGAAATAGAAATTGAACCGTTGACGCATAACTCTATGCATGAGATTATATTCCGTGTCTGTTATTTAAGGTCCTATGTTTACTGTCTAGATTAAATACTATGCACTAATGTGAACAGGGTTGGCATAGGCACCGCCACAAGACAATTCAGTATGATGATGAAGTGCACGTGTGGACGACTGCCTCATCATCATGTCCTATGGCGGAACACATCATGATGATAAGATCCCACCACTTGACTCATGTATGCATGATGCATCCCGAGTAATCATGCATCATCAGGGGGCCCCTCCGCCCACTCTGATCATGGATTCATTTTACTGCTTCAATTTCTTTTTTTGCTTTATTATAATAATTATATGTCATGATTCACGGGGTCTAGGAAAACAAAGTAGTAAAAATCATGTTTTATGATCAGAAAAATGGTCTTTAAAAAAATATCAAAATAAAAATAATTAAAATCTCATTCTTTATATTATCTCTGTATATGTTTGATTTTAGATCTTAATCTAATAAAATAATTGTCTCACAATTTATAGATTAATATTAGATAAATCTTGATATTTATACAATGAATAGTAATATCATTATAATGTTTTAAAATCTAGAAGATAATCAAACAAGTAAGGGTATTAAATTACAATTCAACTGACTTAATCATCATCGATCACATTAGTTGATAATAAAAAATATTTTAAAAATAAAATTAATAAATATATTTTTAATTATAAAAAAATAATATGTTTTATTTTATAATAAATATGATATAATTTAAATTAAATAAATTTAAAATATAAATTTTTAAATAAAATTAATAAGTATATTATTTTAAGCTGGTTAAAATTAATTTTAATAAATTAAAAAAATTATTTGATTTTACCGGTTATCAAATTGCCCCTCTCATACTTCAATTGCGTTCTTAAAGTCTCACACGGACCATTTTTTAACTAGTCGAATCGGCCGATTCCTTCCAATTTTTACAACATCGTATCGCTGAGTCGTCTCTCGATCCTTCCCCCACGTGTTAAGAGCTTGGATATGGGTTCAAATGTTGGTGCATGGTAGGGTTTTTGAAATATGGCGACGTAGACGACTACGTGGGTCAGTCGCAGCGATTCCCAAAACTTTTCCAGCACTGAAGAAGGCGGGTGGGGGCCAAGTTGAAGAAGAATATAAACCAACTTGGTTGCTAGGTGAGGGAGGGTTTTGCCATGCAAGACACAGTTAACCCTGCTTTCGTTAGGGACGGGAGAGAGGACGTAAATGGGGAAAGGCTCGCCCAAGATGACAAACAGAGATGATTGGTGCTGGAATTTAATTATTTATTTGTAAGTCCTAAAACATTATTTTTTCGGAAAAATTTATAAGAAAATTATACAAGAGTACTTGCTATTGACTTTTTAAAAGAAAAGAAATTTATTTTAATTAGAAAATTTGACTTTAGTAATTGGCATCATTTCTTTGAAAAGAAAAAGTGAACCAATATGATTTGTTTAGGTAGAATAGTGAAAGTAAGGGGATTTTGTTTTTCACATTACAATTTTAATTTGTCATGGTAATTTCTAAAAAAAAAAATTATGGTAATTAAAGGAAGAACAGGAGGGCAACTTTGGCAAAGACAAAATGGGAAAAAACAGGAAAGGTGGGAGGCACAGGGAATCAACCATTTTACCTTTCTTGTCAATTCAACCCAAAACGTGCTTTCCAATTTTATCTCTTTTACACAAAAACGCCTCAGCAACAACAAAGGTCAAAACCCAGTCTCCAGCGCCACTCTCTCAGTCCCAGATCCCACACACGCTGACACACACTCGCTCCCTTTCTCTCATCTATGGCCGGGAAGGAGGAGAGTAAAGCAATAGCAACCCACTTCCACAAACACATCCATTCATCCCTAACCATCCAAGCTCTATCTGTGTGAACTGAGCTTCAATCAAAGTTCTCGTTTTGCGTGTTCCACTTCTATTGTATTGTATTGTATTGTATTGTATTGGTTCTACTTTTCGCAAAACTCCGCCTCACCCAGTTTCCCTGTCTTGGTCTTCTTCTCTCTCTCTTAAGTTTAGAGCATTTTGAGATCTGGGTTGGGCTTAAAATGGGGAGCAAATGGAGGAAAGCGAAGATTGCGCTGGGAATGAACCTCTGTGTTTACTTTCCGGGGACCGAGGACGACAGGGAGGACTCCCTGCCGCCGTCGGAATGCCTTTCCCGCGCCGCCCTGCTCTCGCCAACGTCGTCTCCACCCACTCCGACGCCGTCGTCCCACAGGTTGAGGCTGTCCAGGAGTATGGGCAGATCTTCTAAGGTTCGTTTGGGCCCTGGTTGCTGCTTGAGATTGTGATGTTTGTTTCATTGCAGAGAATCGAGGCCAAAGATGAATATAATTTTGATGCTTGTTTGTCTGTTTTTGCAATACGGAGTATGAAACTGAAGATAATGGTTTTACCGGTGAATTTGAAAATATTTTGTGTTTTTTGCTTGTTTAGGTTACTTAGGAACTGAAGAAAACCAAAGTGATTTGGACTAATTGTTTCTTTGGATTTTCAGACAAAAACCTGGTGAGAAATGAGCACCCAGAAAAAGAAAATAAAGAAAGAGAAACGTAACGAAGAGATTCAAATTGATTCATTCCGTTGAGGTTGTGTTCAAGTCTGTTTTACAATATATGAAGAAAATGGAAATCAGAGCTTCTAGATTGTCTAAGGTTTCTCAATGATATCTGATGCATTATTTCCCTGGATGTTCTCCGACCTTTTTGCAATTGAAGTTTTTGTTTCTAATTTACTGTTTTGTGTTGAAATGGGTCATTGTGTCTTAATTATTATTTAAAAAAAATTGTCACTTGTTTGCTTCAAGTGTTATTACTTTATCTCAACGTAATCAAATTAGTGAGTTAGGTGTTGATTGTCTCGTTGTTTTCCACTCCTTATCTTGTGTGATTTAATAAACAAGTCCTTTTCAGGACCTTAATCATTTAGGCTCAATAGTAAAAGAAGAGTTACATAATTGCCTTTCTCTTCCTCCTCCCCTCCGAGGGAAAAGTAGCTTTTGTTTGACCATAGCTGTTGACTGTTATTTTGCAAGTTTTCTTGCTGTAACTTCACGAAAAAAGCAAGCTAGGAAGGGGAAGCAAAATTCTATAGCAACTTTTGAATCCCCAGCAGTCAATAGTTGCACAAATTATGATTTTTCCTAAAAGCCTTAGTGACTTTCGTGGACTTTGTTTCATTTCATTCATTTGCCATTCTTTTCCTGTTAGCAATTTGACAAGCCAAATTACTGGCTAGGGCCACAAACAAAACACAACCATTAAGTTGGCTTTCTGTTACCCATTAATCTAAGTGGAAAGATTACTCGACGTTTAGGATAATGATTCAGATCTTAATAGAGTAAATGATATTATACATCCTATTATTCTAGTCCGTAAGAATCTGAATGTAGAATCTTCTGTTAGACAAACTCAGGTACAAGTTCATTTATTAAGACACATACACATGGTTTTCTGCTCAATATTAAATTAAACATATATGTTGCATATACAGCCAGACACATAGGAAGGTACATGTGTTCTAACCATGAGTCAATTTACAACGCACGGGACTTTGCAAATTTAAATCTGTGGAACATAATTACAGGTCCCTGCAACAGATGGTGGATTATCCTGCATATGAGTTTTTTGAAGATCCATTTCTAATTGTTTTGCCCAAAAGATGAGATATATTAATGTCGTGTTATTGGATTTACGTGCAATACCATGTTGCTTTGAACTTTATGAATGATGGCAATAACACAATTCAAGTACCAGACTGCCTCAAGCTTTAAAACTTTTTCACCTTGAATTCAAGCACCTGGCTGGCATTCAGCATTTCTTGTAGAAATATTTATTGAATCTAGCTTTAGAGTTTGGGCTGAAATGTTGAATAACTTAATATTTTTTACATGCTAAGTTATTTGTTTTCCTTGTTTTCCTTGTTATGTCGTTTATTACCATTCTGATGCGCTTTATACCGGAAATTCTGTGCCTTATTGTAGAAGCTATTGAATAACTGTGCAATGTTTAATTTCCTCAATTCATGCTTCTCATTTGGCATTTAATCTGATTTTTCAGAATACCTGCTCGATATGCTTGGCCACAATAAATTGTGGAGACGGCCATGCAATTTTTACAGCAGAATGTTCCCATTCCTTCCATTTTCACTGCGTTGTTTCAAATGTAAAACACGGAAACAAAATTTGCCCAGTTTGCAGAGCAAAGTGGAAGGAAATTCCCATGCAGAGTCCCAGTTTTGATCTTCCTCCTGGAAGGGCAAGAATTAGTCCTCTAGATTTCTCTCAAAACAATGCTCTAATGACAGTTCTCCCCAGAGTATCTCCCCCTCATCTGATCTCCAACCGCCATGTTGCTCCCCTTTTTAAAGCTCCCGAGCCTGCAATCTTTGATGATGATGAATCCATTGAGGGAAGCTCGTCATACACAAAGATTGCAAATAATGACTTTCAAAGGAATATAAAGATCAACACATATACTGAAGTTCCTGCAGTCCCACGGTTCAATTCTTATGATAACTTCAATATTCTAATCCACTTGAAAGCCCCATTTCATTTTCAGGTGAAAATTCTAACAGAACTGAGGCTAACTTGCCACAAATCTCTCGAATTCCCCGTGCACCCGTTGATCTTGTCACAGTACTTGACACGAGTGGGAGTATGGCAGGGACTAAGCTTGCCTTGCTGAAGCGAGCCATGGGATTCGTAATACAGAATCTTGGCCCGAATGATCGGCTTTCAGTAGTTGCTTTCTCTTCAACAGCCCGCCGCCTTTTCCCACTCCGGAGAATGTCTGACACAGGAAAGCAGCAAGCATTGCAAGCTGTTAACTCTTTAGTTGCAAATGGTGGAACAAACATTGCTGAGGGCCTCAGAAAGGGTGCCAAAGTGATGGAAGACCGAAGGGAGAAGAACCCCGTTTCCAGTATAATACTATTATCTGATGGCCGAGATACTTATACCGTCAATAGTTCTGGTTCCACCCAGCAACAACCAATTACCAGTTGCTCCTTCCCTGTCCATCCAGGGAAATAATGGTGCAACATTTAAGATCCCAGTGCATGCTTTTGGTTTTGGTTCGGATCATGATGCTTCATTGATGCATTCAATTTCTGAGATTTCAGGAGGGACCTTCTCTTTCATTGAGACAGAAGCAGTGATTCAGGATGCTTTTGCACAGTGCATTGGGGGGCTGCTTAGCGTCGTGGTAAAGGAGCTGCGAGTTTGCATGGAGTGTATCCATCCTACTCTCAGCTTAGGCTCCTTAAGAGCTGGGAGTTATCCAAACCATGTGATGCCTGATCGACGGGCAGGTTGGATTTGTGTTGGAGATCTATATGCTGATGAAGAGAGAAATTTTCTCATTTCAGTCAATGTACCTAAAGACCTTTCAGGAAATGAAATGTCTCTGTTAAAGGTGAGATGTGTTTACAATGATCCCTTGACGAAAGAAAAGGTAACTTTGGAAGGTGAAGAAGTTAATATCAAGAGACCTGAAGTAGCTGGCAAAGAGTTGGTGTCAATAGAAGTGGACAGGCAGATGAACAGGCTTCAAGCAGCCGATGCAATGGCACAAGCACGGACAGCAGCAGAGCAGGGAGACCTGACCCGTGCAGTTTCTATACTTGAGAGCTGCCGGCAGGTATTGTCAAAAACTGCATCAGCTAAATCCTGTGACTGGCTATGTATTGCCCTGGATGCTGAACTGAAAGAGATGCAGGAGAGGATGACAAGTAGGCATGTGTATGAGGTATCTGGAAGAGCTTATGTCCTTTCAGGATTGAGCTCACACTCATGGCAGAGAGCAACAGCACGGGTAATTCCACAGATAGTTCGAGTCTCATTCAAGCCTATCAACCCCTTCCATGGTTGAGATGCTTAATCGTTCCCGAGATAGTGTGTTGGGGTTGGCATAGAGCTTGTCTTGGGACAGACACAGTTATATGCTCCAGTGGCTCTCTATTTTTTGGAGGCAGACACCGTTAAACTGAATATCTTAGAGCCTTTTTGGGCTGTCAATATGGTTTTGTCTTATATATGTGTAAAGGAATAAACTTGGCAAGGGGGGGCGGGGGGAATATCTCTAGGGAGAAAAGGAAGAGTAGAGTAGGGCTTTCTACTTGTTTTTCTTTTCGTCTTTTGTTGTTGGAATGATGTAGATAAGAAATGGTTTTTGTCTGGGATAAGCGGGTATAAGTTTGTAATTGTGGGTATATGGGGTTGAACTCTTAAACTTGAATATAATATATGAAATTCCTGCCATGTGATTATTTTCACATAGGTTTCTTCTGACCGTGTATCTATTTAGTCAATTAGATTTCCAATAATAAGCATTCAGGAAAATGCTATCCATCTCTTCAATATGCCCAAAAAGGTACCAGCATCTGATTAGGTTCCCTGAATTGAGCTTGGCAGAAGTGCCACAGGTATAAGAGATTAGACCCCTCTCAAAAGAATATGTTTAGTTTTTCAGTTATTTATTTTATGTGACTTTGACAGCTCACAAGCTGTTGTTTTCGCTAGACTCTGGCCAGACCTTCTGTCATGAGATGACTGATGAGCACATGAAGCCTAGGCAATGGCAATTCAAGAGTACAAAACAAAATCTTCCCATCTTTGCAATTGAAAGACCAGCAAATTGCAAGTAATTCTTAAGCAATTAATTTTGAAAATTGAGTCAAAATTATTTTACATTAAATTGATGATTTTCAAAACTCTCCCAAATTTAATGTTTCAGGGAAACAAGTAAAATATTTTGAGTATGAAACAAGTTAGCCCAGTGGGCAAATATTTATTGTGAACAGACGCAGTAAAATGAGTAAAAATTCTGATGGCAGCTAGATATACTATGAAAGAACTCCGTTCTAGGTTGACTTTCCTTCATTTGGCTTTGGAATTCTCTTGTACTCATAGTTGTTAATGTCAACCTTTGCCTGCAAGGTCTGTAACACAGCAATTTGCCAATCAGATGTTAATCAATAACGATAACACAATTAAAATATTTTTAGTAAGACTGACCCACCTTGAGCTCTTCCTCCAGCGATATCTTCTTTGGCTTGTATGCATCCACTGGTCCTGTTCTTGAAAGTGCTTTTCTGGTCTCAATGATCTCCCATTCCTGATCATCTTTTACCTTGGCAATATCCTTGCTGAATAATGTTTTTTACATTTAAGATTGAGAAAAAGAAAATGACAAAAAGGAGTAGATGACCGTTATCATTATCCTTATCATGGCGATGATGCCAACAGTGTTCTTTCTTATGGGAAAAAAATGGTGCCAAAAGTTAAATGTGATGGGAGAAGAATATTATTTTAAAATAAAATACAAAATCAGAACATTCTAGAAATTCCTGAGTAGTGATTTGCAGGAATGCAGTGTACAGAAGGATGTAAAGCAACCATCAATTTCAAAAGAAAACAAAGGATATAAAAAAGACAAAAGAAGAAGGGGGAAAAAAAAGAGATTTCTTGAGAACTAAGAACAAAGAATGAAAGGTAAGTTAGTGAAACCTAACTGAAATTCTTTCCATAATTTCTAACCTGAACTAATGGATTGAACTGAAGACCGGTAGAACTACAAATGCTAGATGTCTCTCGAGAAACTTGACCTTTCTATTCAATATTTCAACACATAACGGAAAGAAAAAAAAACAAAGGGATGAAGGCAAACGGCTGACCCTATATAAGTTATCATTTTTATTTTGTGCCAACAAGATCCCCTATCTAGTAGCAAATTAGCATGCTAATGGATACATAATGCAGGAAAAATTGTACTCCTCAGCTGCATGGTGCACACAGAAATACCCTAGTTATTTATTAACAACTAAAAACTATATCCCCAGGAACTAAAGTTGGCAATCTTTGCACACAGGATATATAAACCAAAAGCCATATATTCCATACATCAAGCAGAATTCACTCAATTTCTGCACCTATACACTCAGCATCCCTCAAACTATTAACTGACTCCTTCAAAGATGCATAGTACACCAAAGAAAAACAATATGAGCAAAGGAGAAATCCCTTTTAAAAGGACAATGATATTTTAGCAGCGCTTCAACTTTTGTATTACAATCCCACCTTGAATCAGTCCGACTCTAACTCAACATGCCACTTCTGATCCCAGGCCAAAGAAATGCTCATTCAACTAGCCAGATTGACTGCATAAAAGGATTACCTAAGTGGGCAAATATATACATATATCTACATACATACATAATACATATATATATATATATATATATTGGCAACTTCTAAAATCTGTATGCAATAATTGCTGAAGTAATTAGCCAACTACCATAAAGATCAAGAGAAATATCTTCTGAGTCCAACTAGATGAAATCAAAATCTGCAGAGATTCAGTCATGTCGGTTCCAAAGTGATCAAAGTTACTAAAACCAAATATCAAAAAGCCTAATCAAATCGAATCAATCTAAGTTTTTAACTGAACTGAACCAAATATTGGTAATTTGGTTCTTCCAAATAAATTGAAATTCAATTAAAACCCATAAATCAACCAAAATTTAGTTAAAATCTGTATTCAGTCAGGTCAGAAAAACCATAATAAAAATTGGGAACCTAACACCAGATTATATTTCTCAAAACCGAACAGGTGTAACCAAACCAATTATTTCTCTCACAACAATCACAGTGAACTGACCTCACTCGGTTCAGTTGTTGTTGTTGTTTTTTTTTTTTTTTTTTTTGGGTTTGAACTGGTTTTTGCTCACCCTAGTCACAGTGAAAACTGCCTAGTGACAGCAGATGTGATTTGTTAACCAGAGTTTCCCAGTGAGGGAGATTGCTACCAAAACTAACACTACAACATCGGAATATAGCTATTTCATAAACATAATGGTTTACTGTGTTTACTTGTCCCATTCGTGTCTTAATTTTTCTCAAAATTTGTTCCATATTTAAAGTCTAAAAATTATCAAAATTATTAACTAGTCATTTACAATAAAAATGACATTAATCACTTCAATTCCATGTCTAATAAGTTTTTGTTATACTGTGTCATGTTGTATTTGTATTTTCTCCCAATAAATTTCAGTTTGTGTTCATGTCGTATTAACATGTCGATGACCAATATTGCACCCTGTCACAACATATGACCACCATTTTTCACATAGTGGAAGCACTATCACCAAACACAAGAACAAAGCAGCAACTCGTACCTAGGGCTTTTCCTTATAGGCTCTTGCAACAAATTCAAGCTGTGTGCATATCAACAATTGATGCCTACATATGCACCCTACATCTTGCACATATTATCAGTATTGTTAGAATCGTACAATTCTCGATTTGAATTGTGTGATTCAATATGTTTCGTGAAACTGGCAATTTTTATCAGTTATCACAAAAGCATCTAAATCACAGAAATCGATATTATTCCCGATACAATGTTCCATATGCTTCATGATTTGACAAATTTTTGTGTTTAATATAAAATTTGTACAAACTAAATCAAGAGCTAATAGTTTCATAATCATTTTACATTAAATAAATGCCAAATTTTGCATAAATTTCAATTTCAGACACTTCTTTTATATTAAAAATTTAAAATTGATTATAAATCACTTTTTTTATAAGTTTAATTTATAAAATTTATCTCGGTTACCACCCTAAAATAAAATTTCTGGCTGTCCCTAAGTAACATTTAAGTATATATTTGACTGTTTTAGTGATATGCTATGATTCACAATTCAAAAATTAAATAAATACAATTCACGATTTGACAACTATACATATAATAATGCACAAATCAAATATCAGGAAATAATCTAAATAACCACATCAAACAATAAGCAACTCGAAATACATTCAACAGAAGTTCAGGAAATATTGCCTAACATAGCTGAACGGCATATAAAGCTCAATAATTAAATCTAACCAGTCAAGTAGTCCACCAAACCCAGTGAGCATATTAAATGGAAACCCTAAGAGACAATAAAGTTAACAATAGCACAAAACCTGACCTGCCTTGCAAGAGATGACCAAGGCCAACTGATCCAAGCACTGTAATTGAAATCATGGGAAGCCCGTATCTGACAAATGGAGATTTCCTGCCCCATCTTCTGAAGCATGAATTTTGTAACTTAGCGCCACCACAATTCATAATTTTCTTTGGCTGCTCCGTTGTGGCATCAATGGTTGTCATCTTCACCACAGACCCAGATGCTCACCTACGAATCATAATTATCTATTTCAATATAGAGTTTCAAAATGTGTTGTGCAGTTTAATAGAAAGTCATACGAGGCAGGGTTGAGGCTTGGCAAATAATTTAGAATCTAACATGTTTTCACCGTCAAAGATTGTCTTTTTTCTGGTAAAATAAATGATAGTCCAGAATTTGAAAGACACTTTAGGACGAAACTTCAATTGAGGCAATTCATCAAACATGGTACCGCCACATAAACAAGATTCGAAAACAAAAACAGTCCTGAGAATTGGACATGCCAAAGGCAACGAAAATGGATGGGCTAGTGTACCTTATTTTAATATATCATGGACTATGTTTGACATGGAAAAAATGAAGAAACAACTCAGGTCAAAGCACGTTTAAAGATGTCTCTGTGAGTGTGTATATGTGTGTGTGTAGAGAGAGAGAGAGAGAGAGAAGAGCCCAAATTGCTACCCTAAATTGTCACCGGCGATGAATGCGATGACAACGGAGCGATGAAGACCAGGTGATGACCGGATTGAGATATGGGACGTGGGAGTCTCCTCGGTCGGCGTTGGTGCAGGTTCGGGGACAGTTCAATTTTTGGTCTTAATTACTCTTGTCAGATGGGCAGTTCATTGCATTTTCGGAACTAAAATTTAATTATTTAAAATTTTGACAATTATTTCTAGAAAAATCATGAACATCAGATACAAAAAAATTAATTTTCCCTTTCCGGTTATGAAACCATTTAAAAACCTAAAAATAATTAAAAAAAAATAAGAACTGAACTGGGAATTTTTTTTGAATTTTTTTAAGTTACAAAAAAGCAACAAATGAATTTTCAATAGTTTGACTTATTTAGGGCTAAATTATAAATTTTCAAAAAAATATAATTTCCTTCCTTGTATTTATGAACAGAAAAGGTCTCAAAATAATTAACAAGAATCCAATTTTTTATATAACCATGACATACGTACATTTTTTCTGTCCTTATTATTTATTTATTCATTCATTTATGTGAAATCCAAATCCTTAAATATTTATCCCAATATTCTTCTTGAGTCAAATTTGAAGAATCAAATCTTCCCTGAATATATCCAATTTAGGGTGATTGTGACAATTCCATAGTTGCCATGACCTAACCCAATGCCATATTTATATTAATCAAACATTAAAAAAAATGAAGATATAATAAGAAAAAGAACTATAATTATTGTAGCATTTTGTGAGGTCCTGTGAATTTGGAACATTGAAAATATATATTATTACGATTAATATATTTCTTAAAAGTTTTAATTATTTAATAAAGTGCCTTAAGAAATTTAAGATGAAAAACTCTAGAGAATTATCCTTTTTATACCTTTTAATTTTATAAGATTTTTAGTTTCAACCTCGGCTCCTTTTTATTTTCAGGTTTTCTTAATAAACTAAAAATAATAATAAAATAAAAATGATGATGATAGTGTATAATTTACCTCAAAAACAAATAGTAATTACAAGTGAATAAAATAAGACCTTTTAATTTTTTATTTAAGAAAAGTGAAAAATTTACTTCTTGTTTTAATTTTCCTAAAAATATGAATAATTAATTTATGTCATTTATAATTAAGCTTTCTAAACAAATTAATAGTCAAACTCTCATAAATTCTATATTGTAATTAGAAAAATCTACTTTTTTTTTAATTCAGCAATTGGGCTTCACGACGAACAATCATCTTTAACACACACGCGCGCGCTCGCACACATATATATAAATTAAGAGAGCAATTTAGTAAATCTAATCACAAATTTGACACGCCAACCGCTTCTCCGTATGCATGCAGCCGTTGAAGGCGGCTATTTTTAGCTCGCGTAGAACTGAAGATGGTACAAGTATTCTAATTTGGCTCAGAGAAAATCCAAAACATTTTTGGGTTCCCGCAATTTTCCAATCGATCCTCTGATTCCCTAGCTGCGGGGATCAGTGAGATCACCTTCATCCCTTCCCGCAGTTTCTCTGCATATTGCGCGGATATACGCAAACAAATACATGACTTAGATAGAAAGCTACCCTCCTTGCTCCCGAGGCTTGTGAAATCGAAGAATTTTCCTCGTCGATTCAAGTCGAAAGCTTGGTTTCTTCGATTTCTCACATGGGTATCGATCAAGCCGGCGGGAAAATGGAGGGGTGGCTTTATCTCATTCGGTTCAATCGATTTGGCTTGCAATACTCGCGGAAGAGATATTTCATTCTCGAAGATAACTGCCTGAAGAACTTCAAATCGAAACCCATGTCAGACAAGGAGGTATAGTCATATTCATTTGCTTTATTTTGTATTGTGCTTTATGTTTTTCCGTATTTGAGATGATGTATGTTAATTTGCGTTTTACCGGGGGTGCTTTCTCTCTCTCTCTCTCTCTCTCTCTCTACACACACACATGCCCACCTGTGGGTATTGAATTTCTAAACAATTTATTGCCTGCAACATATCGTGGGTAATTTAGATTGCTTTGGTCGTTTTGAATTTTTATGATATTAAGGCTATATTTGGGGATATATGAGCGAAAAGGAAAACAAAAAGGATGGCGGTCTCTAGTAATGAAGAGAAAAGAAAAGAAATGATTTGTTTAGGTTCACTCCTTGTTTTAATATTGCAGAGAAATCGAGAGAATGTTAAGACGTGATTGTGGTTTTATTCTTTTCCTTGACTGTTTAGTTGCTTAATTTTGGCGTTATAAAATTTTTGGTAAAATTCTCCTCTCTCTCTGTCTTTCTCTCCAAATCTCTCCAATTTTGGAGTGTTCAAATATAAAGGGGTTTGAAATTCTCTGTTAATATGTAATCCGAGAAAGTGATTTGGAAGCACATAGTCGTCTTTCTTTGCTTTCCACTCCAATCACTCAATCCCCACAAGAATGTCCCCGTCTATGTTAGTTTGGCACTGCTTATTTGTTGGATAAGAATTTGGAGATGGCATTGAGAGTTGTTAATCTCTAAAAAAGGCAAAGGATGTATAACATTCAAACACTGACATTATTTTCGACCTCATGGTATTTTCATGTGAGAATGATAATGCTGGAAGTTAATGATGAATTTCTCATACTAGTCTATGATTTGAAATGACATTAAAGACATATTTTTTGCACAGAGAACCACTTTCATCTATCTTCATGCATGTAAAATGAACTATATCCAAAAAGAGCTGTGCTATAATTCTTGTGATTTTCCACTAGTACCACCCTTATATAATTGCAAACTGTAAATATGTCCGATGGCATGAAAATAGTGGTACCTGCTGATTAGTTTTGCATACTTGAATTCAATGATTGCTGATCTCCTTGAAAAGTGCGGTTTCTAGTGGTGGAGAAGAAAATTAGTATAAAGCAGAAATTGGATAAAAAAGAAGTTTTAAATTAGAGCATTTAATGAAGGCACATGATTTGGGGGTTTCAGATGGCAACTCAAGCATATTTATGTCTAAACTGTGACTTCCTTTAAGGATAAGCCAGAATGTGCATACAATTCTGTGAAAATAGCTATCTATGGGATAATATTTTCTATCTAAACAGAGTAGCTAGATGATTTTGAGGATCCAAAGAAATCAATGTTACCATTACTACTTCTTTCTTGTCCCAGCTTCCTGCCAATTCAGAGGGTTGTCTAAATATTTACATTATTTGCATCCGTACAAAATATTTCATGCAATCAAATTCATGGTCTAGGAAAAGGATCTTAATTTACATAATTTGGTGACCAGATATTTTCTCTTGAGCTCAACAAAATATTTTCCATACTATTTGAAATAGCATCTTAAAGCAGGAATGCTGCTCCTTTTTACATTCCAACCTATTTGCTATATATTCGTACGACAAGGAAGTTATTTGTGTTTTTCATTCAATTCAGCACTCCATTGATAATTACTATAAATTAATTGAGGCACTAAATGAATCTTCTTCAATGGACAGGAACCAATTAGAAGTGCACTGATTGACTCCTGTATTCGAGTCACAGACAATGGAAGAGAGAGCTTTCATAGAAAAGTAAGTATTGAGTAGCTTCTATTAATATTAATTCATAAATTTAATCAAATTCTGAAAGATAAATGCTGTCTGAGAGGGACAGATATCTTCCATTGCATTGAAAAATCTTAACATGGCTTGCAACTTTCAGGTGTTCTTCATCTTCACAGTTTATAATATTTCTGATCACAATGATCAACTGAAGGTGAGGTGATTTTCTTGTCAACCATTTTCTGTTTTTGTAGTTGGATTATTAGTAACAATCATCATGTTTTAATTTTGTAGTTTGGAGCAAGCCGTCCTGAAGAGGCAGCTCGATGGATCCGTTCTTTACAAGATGCTGCAGTAAGGCCGCAAAAGAATTTAGCATCTTGTTCTAGAAAATGGCAGCCTTTTAGGTATCTAAACTCCTTCAGCTTGATCTGCAAAAAGTAGTGGTTTTTTTATAAAACATTGATTTTTATTGCTGTCATGATTTTGCCAGCTTTTTACCATTCTATTCCTTGCAAAGGTAGTATTTGTTTTTGAATTTTTCAGGAAGAAACCACCTACACACTTTTTGGAAAAATGGAAGTGGTTTAGAATTGATATCCCTTACAGAAACAAACATATGCATGACTGTCCAGAGAAAGATTTATGCACTTCAAATATTGGAAATTAAAGTGCAACTTCAGTAAGAGGTTGAATATTACATAATTTTTATGTAATTTACATGTTTATAAGTATTAGTTCTTCCACACATGCTTACCTTTGGCTTCTGGCTGACACGGTCAGATTCATTTTCCTACTTCATTTTTTTATTGTATCAATAGAGTATGTATCTCTCTGAGGCCAGCTTTATGAACTAAAATCCTATGAAACCGCATCTAATCAATAGAAAATTGCTAGTTCCTTTTTTTTTCCAATCTATATCACATATCACCTGTATTTCCTCAAGTTATACTCCTAATTTGTTGTGGTGAATAAAATTTGTTATATTCTTCAGTCAGGCATAATCAGTTCCCTGCATGAGTTGATTGAAAATTATTAAATCCAAGCCAGCCTGTTTCTAAACTGCTGTTTTGACAGATTGACTGTTTCAAAAAGGACATCCCGTAAACATTCTGTAGACTGGACTTCTACATCATCCATGCGTATGGATGCAATGACATCTGATGTAATTGCACCTTCACCATGGAAAATTTTTGGTTGCCAAAATGGTATGTGTTAGATTTCTCATTTTCTTCATGCCTCACATCTAAGTACATAGACATTCATTTTCACCTACCATGCAGGGCTGAGATTGTTCAAAGAAGCAAGAGATGGGGATTTTTCTGGGAAGGTAGGTTGTCTTTCTTCCCTTTGTTAGACTCAAATGATTTTTAGCACTTCCTTCTTTATTGCTAAAATATATGGCACCCCAGGATTTGGATGATCATCCAGCGATAATGGCGGTTGGCGTGGTTGACGGATCTTCAGAAGCAGTTTTCAGTACTCTTATGTCTCTTGGTTCTTCAAGATCAGAGTAAGATTGCTGGAATGTTCCCTATCTTTCAGCCCTTCTGTTTTCTAAAAGAAGAGATTTCCATGCTCTATTCATTTATCATAGTGTCTATTATGATATCCTAAATAATAGGTATTTTAAGATTGCCTTTTTAAATCATGCAATAAGTGCAAATGGTTGTTAATCTGGAATGTACATCTTTCTTAAGGATATCTCTGCCTTGGGCCTTGTTACTTGATAAAGTCAGTTCATATTGACAACTCGCTTGAACTTGCCTGCGTCAAAATTGCATGTTAAATTGGAGTCTACATGGTTATCTGTTTCAAAAGCATAAAAGCACAATTCAAGAAATGCCAGTTTGTAAAGACAGAACCATGTAAACTTGGTTGTAATTGGGCTTCTAGCTACAAATTAGATACCAAGTACCTACATTCAGGTATGGATAAAAAGGTGAGTTTAAACTGGAATTTTCTAATCCCTAATAGTTAAGTCAGAGTTAGACGCTCTTCTCTAATTTGGTCTTACGTCCAAACCCAAGCCAATCCGCTAAAGGAACTTCCAAGCTTGCTGTCTAGCTGCTTCTGTGGACTTTGGTGGCATCAAAATGCTCATAAAAGGCTAAATCCGGATTATCATTTTTTTTTTTTTATAGACAAGTATGAAGTTTGAAGGTAGTTATTCTAAAACATGGGACATGTTTTCCTTCATTTTAGATGCACATTCATTGGAAAAGGACTGGCGTTCTAATGTGTCTTTTTGCATATGTATTAGCAAGTTTCACACAGACTGTTTGGTTATAGTTCACTGAAGACATTGAACTTGTATATGCCCCACAGCTCCAAGTACTGAGAATTGAGTTTGAAACAAAATTTAATTCTCTTCTCCTGCCATGGAAGCATAACCTTAACTTGTCCTTCTAGTTTTTATCTCAATTCAATCATCACATTGCCTTACCAGTATTTTTCCACATGTAAAACCAGCTTAGACTGCCGCACTGCCATGTTCAATTTCTTCAAAATGGAAATCCTTGTAATTTGGATTATTGAATATTCTCTTTCCTGATGGTCAACTTGTCTTATCCAGAGATTGAATTGTAAAATATTTTGCAGATGGGACTTCTGTTTCCACCATGCCAGTGTGGTTGAGCACCTTGATGGTCATACAGATATTATACACGAGAATCTATCCATCCATTGGCTGCCATGGTGAGAAATTTTTCCCCCCTTTGAGAAGGCCATAGTTGAGATTTTAACTTCTTTAAGCTGGATCAGTAAAGAAATATCCCATCCTCTTGCACACCTTATGATATTCAGGGGGATGAAAAGAAGAGATCTACTTGTACGACGCTATTGGAGAAGGGAGGATGATGGCACATATGGTAGTATTTTTCCAGTCTAAGTCTGAAATTTGATGTTACATATAATAATCCCAGAAGTGACCTTTTTTTTTCCTGGTTTTGTTGCAGTAATTCTATTCCATTCTGTGTACCACAGAAAGTGCCCACCACAGGATAGATATGTCCGTGCTTGTGTTAAAAGTAAGAAATTGTTTTGTTTCGGAAATTATAAATTTCTTGCTTTACCTATTTATGATTCTAGTTCTTGCATTTAGAACAGGCTGTTTAGACAGCAACACTGAATCATTTCTTCTATTTTAAATTTCCTCTTTCCCATATTGTGATAGGCTGGAGACGATGGTATTTATTAATTTATCTTCCCATGTTCTTCCTCCAAGATGCTTTGTCCTTGCCAATCCAAAAGTACTTGTTATATGTCAACACTGCTAATTGACCTTCCTCTTTTCTTCCTCCATGATGCTTTGTCCTTGCCAATCCAAAGTACTCTGTTATATGTCAACACTGCTTGCAAGTCTACTAGTCTGTATAATAGATAATAGGCTCTTTGTAACTAAAACTATTCTTATTTCCCTGTTTAAATTCCTCTTTTGTAGCCTATGCTAATGGATAACCTACCTTGTGCTTGTGCTGCTTATGCATTTACCTAGTTAACATTTAGATAATTCAGTTGGCCAAGTTGTGGTTGTTGCTGGAATGTGCTAACACTTTTTTGTGCTGATAGCTCATTTCTTCATGAAAACCCCACTTTGTGGTATAATCAAGGCTTAAAGTTTCATTTAACTGTTAGTTAAGCCAAGGAATTGGTAGATTCTAATTTATATGTACAAACAGAAAATGTTTTCATTTATTTTTCCTGGTCAGAAAGGAAAAAGTTATAAAATGATATGCTCTTCTAAGAGGGACAACAAACAAAGCTAAGGAACTCTAGGTTTATTTAAGAGACATACAAATCGGTGCAATCAGGTCTATGTGCTACTTACAAGATTGTTGTTAGTTTTCAAGCACCAATAAGGTTTTATCTCCACAAAAATCTGTTTGACAGGACATTTTCATGCTACCAAGATTATCCACCAAACAACGCCCTCTTAGTCTGGCTTATGTTTTCCCTATTGTCCTGGTGACAAATATAGTTTATCACTTGCCCTGAACCAGACCACAAACTGTTGTTAGGATACCTTGCAAAATGTCATTTAGGAAAAATAAATTAGCAACTTGGCATCTTAATTCTCATTAAACACTTAAATATTGTTATATTGGAACATTGCGGAGCATACATAATTGGATAGGGGCCTGAGGCCTTTACTATTGTTTTCATTATGCATGTCTTAAGATGAATGCACTTAATTGTTATGACTTGTGAGAAATATAATCTGCACGAAAATTAACTTAGTGCTTTCTGCATTTTGACCCAGTCTCAGGATGCTGCAAGTGATAGGGATTTAGAAGCTTGCAAGGTCCTGAGTTTTACAAAAAAAAATAAATGAAGCCGTTTTGCTCTGACATCCTAGTACTGAGGTTCAGTTTTCTTAACAAGTTTCAAACTTTTTTAAAGCACCACACACTTGGTTTTTAAATAAAATGGTTTCTTGCTTAGCTATGCCTAGCCAATAAGCTATGGTGGTTGGAAACTATTTCTTAAATCTATCTGTATGTGATTGTGAGTTTCTTTCGTCATACAGGTGCAGGATATGTCATCACTCCTGTGAACCAAGGAAAGGTTCAGTTGTAAAGCACATGCTAGCTGTTGATTGGAAGTTCTGGAAATCCTATATAAGAAGAGTTTCTGCAAGGTCCATAACCATTCGAATGCTAGGGAGAGTTGCAGGTACTATTCTCCCAGTCAGCAAAGAAAATTTATATCACTATTAGTGTAATTAACACTTTTCTCATCTTACGTCTTTTGCAGCACTGAGGGAGCTATTTAAGGCAAAAGCAGGAAACGGCTCCTTTGAATTCCCATCTATAGAACTGACAAGAGATATTGGGTTGCACCAGAGTGGACATGATATAGAAACTGGAGTTAACAATCTTCCTATAGAGAAAGTGGAAGAGGAGACAGAAAAAGCAGTTTCTGGATGTGCAAGTATCCTGGGATTAAATGATGCAGCTGATGAATTTTTTGATGTGCCTGAACCATCAGATGAGGAACTATTAGAGAATGATTGGTCGTCTGGTTTGAGTCCAGAGTTACATTATGCAGTACGTAATTCAACTCAGCAAAAGCTTTTACCAACCACGTGGGGTCAGCTACATCTATAAAATCATATTTTAGTTTTTAAGACTTGAGATTGGCTCCTATGGTCCTTGCTTACAATAATTGACTTCCTTATAGTTACATGTCTGCAGTTGTTTGTGTTAGAATTTATCTGTGGGTTCTGGCTGCATGGTTCACACCTTGTGCTTCTAGTCATATGCTTTTGCTTCATCATTCATTAAAATCTAACTAGTGCTTATTTTGGAATTTTCTCTAAGGCTCCCCCCCCCCCCCCCCCCCGCCCCCAAGAATTTTTCCAGTTTCCAGTATGTTGCAATTTTTTTTCTATAGATAAAGTTCAATGACACGCCTTCAGCAGTATGATTTTAAATCTGTATAAGAAATAATGCTTTTAACCTTTTTCACATTGTACATGGACATGAAACACATAAGAATTTTTTGATCATTTGTTTGTCAAATAGCTTTTGACCAACATATTTTGACTTGCTGAAAACTGAATCCATCTGAATGTTGAAGAAGATTCTGATAGTTGAGAAGCTAGTGTTTTTTAACCAGCATACTTAAGTATTGTGCACATCTATTACCAGTTGATCATGATAGGAAATTCTGATTTCTGAATTACTTGAACTTCTCCGGTCGTTGCTTTTTTGTAAGTGGATTTGATTGAAATACCATTCATCTATTTAATTCTTTACATCATGTCTGCTTTGCCTTTCTGTCATTTGTTTGGGAATCAAGCGCAGCCCCCATGCAAATATAATGAATCCTTCTCATTTGTGTTTGGGAAGATTATTGTTTTTTAGTTAGCATTTGAATTGAATTTTGGCTTTCTGCTCCTGATCCAAATCACTACATAGTCATCCAGTTTTCTGCCTCCCTTTATGCTACAGCTGTTTAGGGTTTGCTTGGTGTCCCACAAAAAATTTTGGTCCACTGTTCTTCACTTGTTGGAAATGAATCTATTATACCATTGCCAACCTGGGATCTTTAAGGATCAACTTCTGATCTTATTATCAACCTTCTTTTTCCTTAGTTATATCACCATTTATGGTGGTGATTGTGCTTAACTTAGGTGACTAGTTCATTGAATTCCAGCAGGTAGGGCTCTACGGATTGAACTCACTAGAGTTGGTCTTTGAAACCTTGCCCCTGCACCGCTCACCATTTTTTAAAAAATTTTTTCTTCTGTTGGGGACATATAATTTTCTATAATTGCCAAAAGAAACTGCATTCATCTCCTGACACATCATATGACTTATGTTTGCAGGAAGTGAACCAACCTATACAGTGCTCAGCTGCCAGTTTTGTGAAGAAGTTACATAATCTTGCTGGTTAGTCCTTCAAGATGATTAGCATCTTTATTTGATGGATTCAGGGGAGCAATTCTAGATTTTGCTTCAAATATGAGTATTAATGTCTGAGAAAATTCTATTATTATTTCTTTGTTACAGTTCAGAAGAAAGGTTACGTGGAGTTGCAGGAAGTGGTGGAGGAAAACAATGTATTGTGTTGCTATGGGGCGACTCTTACAAAAGACCCAAGTTGTAATTCGGCTTGCAGCTGGACAACTGCTGATCCTTCATCTTTTCTAATTCGTGGAGCTAGTTATCTTCAGGATCGTCAAAGGTAACCTTTCAGTTCTGCGATGAATACGAGAATTTAAAGTCCAAATTGGATCTAACGTATTTAAATGTCTAATAATTGTTAAGCAACTGTAAATCTTAAAAATATGATTTTTTGTTTCAAAAGCAGGTTTTTGTTTAGTTATTTGAACATAGTATATTATTTTCAAAGTTCCATAGGCCCTATTTCACTTTTTGTTGTCATGCAAGGTGATTATTATTGTGAGAATTGCTCTTGTTGACTATGGGCATGAACCTGGAATGCAGGCACAGAATTATTCATTCTGTTAATGTGACTTCCAATCCTTTTATCATTCTAAACAATTCTAGTTCCTCTAACCAGATTAAAGCAAAAAGCACCTTAATGCAATTGGTAGCTGCTGATTGGCTGAAATCTGATAAACGTGAAGATGATATCAGCAGTCGACCGGGAGGCATAGTACAGGTTTGATTAATGACACTTGTGTGTTTTCTAACTGGGGCATCTATGAGAGGGCTTAGGAGCTGAACACTTTTAAGTAGTAAAGAAAACAAAGCAGAACAAAAGACAGCAAAAAGAAAAGGCCAGAAGCTGTGATTTTTTTTGTAGTTTATTGGTGTAAGCCCAAATCATTGTGAAATCTTGGCTTTTGGTATTTTTGGATTTTTGAGCTTAAAAGTTAAACACATAAAATTATTTAATTTTTTTAGTCAAAAAAAGCTGCAATATTAAAGAGCTTGCAGCTCTTGGCTTTTGGCCTCAATGTCTTGACTTCTGGGCCTTTTAGACTTAAAATCTGAATATTATAAGCCCAAAAACCAGGCAAGCAAAAACATTAAGCTATTAAGCTTCCACCTGTAAGATCTAAAAGAACACTCACCCAAAAAAAGAAAAGACAAGAAAAATAAAAAGATTATATTATCAAGTAACTTTCTCCTTATCCAAGCTGTACTGGCACTTTCCAGAAATATGCAGCCCAAGGTGGACATCAGTTCTTCTTCGTTGTTAACATACAGGTTTTTAACGCAATCAATTTTTTCCATTAACTCATCTATAATCAGTATACTGATAGTGCAGTGTTGTGAATCAGGTTCCCGGTACAACTACATATGGTCTGGTTCTGTATTTCATGACAGAATCTCCTTTGGAAGAAAATCCTTTACTGGAGCACTTTGTCAATGGAGATGATGCCCATAGGAATTCACGATTTAAGCTTATACCCTACATTTCCAAGGTCAGTATGGTAGTTTTGAAGGGGGCATCTTTTCTCGGTTGAAATATAATAGTCCTTCTCACCAAGTTATGCCATTAAATCTGTTGAACAAACAAATCACTAATTAAATTCCACGCTTCCTTCGGTTTGTTCTCTCAGGGTCATGGATAGTAAAACAGAGTGTTGGGAAGAAGGCTTGCTTGGTGGTCAAGCACTTGAAGTACATTATTATCGAGGACAGAACTACCTGGAGGTAAATGCTAAATACAAATGATGTTGAGCATATATTGATGCGAGTAGTGAAAAAATAAATAAACCTGAAAATAAAAATAAACCAAGAAGAGAAATACTAGCTACAAACGTACTCTCTCTCTCACACACACACACACACGCCTACATAGACACTTATTTGTTTATTGTCGACGAGTATTTACTTGTGTCTTTAATCTAGTTTATGAACACTACTTAATTTGTTATTTTAACCATGAAACTCTGCCTAATTCGCAGCTAGAGGTTGATGTTGGATCATCACAAGTGGCAAGAGGCGTATGCAATCTTGTTCTTGGCTACCTCAACAACCTAGTTATAGAATTGGCATTTCTGATACAGGTAAATAAAGCAATTAAACTTGCGCCTGTCATTAACTATTTGCGTGGACTATTCCTTCTGATCAAAAGAAAAACCAAGGCCTTGTTTGGATTTGTATTGAAAACTGTTTTCCATTTTCACAAATTAAAAAAAAAAAGAAAAGAAAAGAAAATTCTCATTTGACAGGTTGTTGTGGAAACTGTTTAGGGGAGAATTTTCAAAAATGGGGTTTTTGAAGAAACAATATACATGCTACCCTGATCATTCATATTTGCAAATTTGGAAAAATAAATGCAGGCCAACACAGAAGAAGAGCTCCCAGAATGTCTCCTTGGAACATGTCGACTTAATCATCTAGATGCCTCCAAAGCGGTTGTAGTAACACTCTGATTATCAACAATTTCCAATGTCCCTGGCATGAGGGATGGAAGGGATGCTCACTAAGATGGTCACTTCATAGATTCTATCGAAACGATGAGGTTATTTATTTTATGGTGTAATTTTCAAGGGGGTTAATTCGATTTGTATAGTTCTCCATTTTTGGCTTAATCCGTCGTCTTCAATTCTTTTCCTCGTGGTAGTTGTAACTCCAGTCATCCACAGAAAAATGCCAATGATAATGAAGTTATTGGCGATCTGTAAAGGACATTAATGGAGAAAAAAAATTTATCAATGAAATAGTTTTTTCAGCATCACATGTTTATTTAAAAAAAAAATTATGGACAAGAAGGTAAAACAGAGGCCTCAAATATCACAATTAATCAATAAATTTGCAGTTAAATTCCCTCGCCAGGATATGACCTTTTAAAATGTGGCCTCCTTTCAAAGTACTTGGTATAAGCCCCACCATCGTATTGAGCCCTCATTCTTTGATTCGAAAATCCACCCATTCGAATCTTTTTCTAATTCGAATGGCTAATGGGCAGGCGGTGACACTCTCTTCCATCCCATTCTGTTGATATCTTTGCTAAGGGGCGTCCATTCTAAAGTTTGATGTGAGTTTTACCATTATTTGTCTCTTAAGAGTTGCACTTACACTCTTTTGTTAAATAAAGTTATTATTTTTATTTAAAAAATTAACCTATTAAAATAAATGATAGAAATTAAAAGAACTCAAATTTTATTCCACACCAAACATTGTTTACAATGAATTCTATTTATAAGAAAACTAATCCTAATGAATCCCTAATAAATCTCTAAAGATAATTATTTAATAAAAGTCAAATCCTAGTTTAGGATAGTTACAAAAAATTATCTTAACATCCTCTCTTAAACTGATAACTACGGAAATTAGTTTAGAGAGATGTCATTAGCTGAAATCATCCCGAGCCTTAATTGAAGCTTCACGAACACATCTTGTTTGAGGGATTTGGTCATAATGTTTGCAACTTGTTCACCATTTGGACAAAATATAAGATTGATCACTCCACCATTACATTGGTCTCACAGAAAGTGATAACGAACATCTATGTGTTTGCTTCTCCCATATAATGCTGGATTCTTGGAAATCTTGATTGTTAAAGCATTATCACAAAAAGATTGTAGTTGATCCCACTTGCTTGCTTTGAAGTGTTTCCAACAACTTCCTTAACCAGATAACTTGACAAGAACATGTTGTTGCAGCAACATTCTCTACTTCTGTAGAAGATAAAATAACTATCTGTTATTTCTTTGATGACCAAGAGATTGTTTCTAGAACTCATTATTAATACAAAACCTGATATACTCTTTTTTGTCATCAATGTCTCCAGCATAATCACTATCTATAAAGCCAATAAGCAAATCTTCATTATCTTCTTTTTGAAAAAGGATTCCAAAGTCAATTGTACCTTTCAAGTATCGCAAAATCCTCTTGACAGCTAAGAAATGATTTTCAATTAGATTTTTCATATACCGGCTTATTAAACTTACACTATACATAATGTCCGCTCTTGTTGTGCTTAGGTACATTAAGCATCCAACCATCTGTTTGTAAAGTGTGGAATTCATCTTTTTCCCTTCATCATCTCTTTCAGTTTGAGACCATATTCAGTAGGTGTACTGACAAGATTGCAATCCTTCATTTGGAATCTATCCAAAATCTCGAGAACATATTTTCTTTGTGAAATAAAGATTTCAAGTGATGACTGAGAAACTTCAATACCAAGAAAGTAATGCATCAAATCTAGGTCTGATATTTCAAATTCTGACATCATATTCTTTTTAAATTCAGTAAGCATCCCTTTGTCATTCCTAATGTAGATGAGGTCATCCACGTACAAACATACTATAAGCATACTTCCATTGGCATGAGTCTTAATGAAAAGAGTATGTTCATAAGGGCACTTCTGAAAATCTTTTTGGATAAAATAAGATTTAATATGACTATACCAAGCCCGTGGGACTTGTTTTAAGTTATATAAAGCTTTTCTGAGTTTGTAAACTTTATGCTTATTGTCATGCTTGATATATCCAAGAGTTTAATCAACATATACCTCTTTCTTGTAGGTCTCCATGCAGAAAGACTGATTTTACATCCAACTGATAGATAGGCCATAACTTCTAGGCAGCCATGGATAACACTAATCAGATGGTGTCAAGGCGAGCAACCAGGGCAAACACTTCCTTATAGTCAACTCCATATTCTGCTTGTACCCTTTTACTACTAGTCGGGACTTGTGCTTATTGATACTGCCATCTTATTTAATTTAGTTTTGTAAACCCATTTGACTTCGATGGCTTTTTGTCTTACTAGAAGGTCCACCAAGTTCCAAGTGTTGTTCTTTTCAATGGCCCTGATCTCTTCATCCATTACTTTTTGCCATTTTTGATCTTTAGTAGCTTCTTCAAATCTGATAGGATCACAATCTACAAATAAGGCAAAGTGAGCAATATCATCATCAGATAACCCCTCACCTGTTACATAGTCTTGCATCCAGTTAAGTTTCTTTTTAGGACGTTGTTGAGGCTCATCTGTAATATCAATCTAAATGGTGTGTTTGTCAAAAGTTTGAAATTGCTAAGGTGAAGATGAGTCTGCGTCTTTATCATCAAAATTGACCTGTATAGGCTACTGTCTAGAAGTATCATCACTCCAATTCCAACGTCCCTGCTAATTACAATCTTTTTAGTAACTGGATTGTAAAGTTTGTAGGCTTTGAAAACTTCATTTATCCCCAGAAAGACACACTTTTCACTTTTGTCATCCAATTTATTTATTTTCTGATCAAGAACATGTGCATATGCGATGCACCCAAAGTTTCTGAAGTAGTCAACAAATGGCTTTCTCCCACTCCATGCTTGTTCTGGTGTCATGTTGAGAACAGAAAAAGTAGGGATCCTATTCAACACATGAACACTCCAGTTGACTCTTTCAAGCCATAAGGTTTTCGGGATCCTTCCTTTAGTGATCATGCTACAAACCATGTTCAGAATTGTTCTATTTTTCCTTTCAGATACTCTATTTTATTGAGGTGAATAAGTTGCAGTAAGTTCCTTTCAGATGCCTTGGTTGACACAGAAGGTATCGAACTCCTGGAACAATATTCTCCACCTCGATCGGTCTTCAGAGTTTTAATAAATCTCTTTGTCTCTCATTCTCTACTTGTGCCTTGAAACTTCCGAATATTTCAAAAGCTTCTGACTTTTCCTGCAAAAAATAGACCCAAGTTTTTCGAGAGTAATCATTAGTGAAAGTAATGAAATAATGGTTACCACTGTTAGAAGTCGGAGTGATAGGGCCACAGATGTCAGAATGGATCAACTTAAGTACTTTCTTTGCTCTCCATGACTTTCCTTGAGGGAACTGAGAGCGAGATTATTTGCCAACAACACAATCTTCACACACTTGTGAAGGAGCTATAATCTGAGGAAGACCTTTAACCATATTCTTCTGTTTGAGAGTTCTCAATCTTCTAAAGTTCAGGTGCCCATATCGGTAATGCCAAAGCCAAGATGGATTCTTGATTTCGGCCAAGAAACAAGAAGAAGCATGTTTAAGTTTTAAGGGAATAACCTATTTGTGCTCATCTAGATGGCAGCAATAGCTCCTTTTTTAGGATCATATATCTCACATGATCCTTTCTAAATGGTTATTACATAACCATTTTCTTGCAATTGTCAATACTCAACAAGTTATTTTTCAGACCTGGAACATAGAAGACGTTGGAGATGGTTTCTACAAAGCCATTCTTGGTGTAGATGTTAATATCACATTTTCCAAGTACCTCAACTACAGAGCTATCACTAAAATGAATAGTTGATTGAAAGCTTTCATTTAAATTTGAGAAAAGTGATTTACTTCCGCACATGTGATTGCTGCATCCCATGTCCACATACCAAATATCTGATTCAGATGGATTTGTGATGTGGGTGGCTATCAGAATAGTCTCAACATCATGCTGTTATTCCTGTTGTTCTGCAAAGTTTGTTTTCTCCCCTCTTTCTTTGTTATTAGGTAGTTTGGTATAGCAATCATAACTGTAGTGGCCGAATTTGTGACATATATAACATTCAACCTTAAATTTGTTGTACCGTCCTCTACCTTTGCCTTGGTTGTTGTTGGCTTTGGGATATTGTTCTTGTTGTTTATCTCCATCTCTAGAACCTTGTCCTTCTCTTCCTTTACCTCTACCTCTTCCTCTTCTTCAGCTTTTTCCTTTAGAGTTTGAGGATCGAGTAGAAGTATTGGCTTTGAGGGCTTGTTCTTCCTTAGTTGAACTTCGGTTCAACTTTTATGTACACCAAAAGGGAGCTTTGAAGTTCATCAACTGAAAGTACATCAAGATCTTTAGATTCCTCAATAGAACAAACAACAAAGTCATACCTCAATATTAGGGAGTGTAGGATCTTTTCAATAATGGTGACATCATCCATCTTTTCTCCTTGAAACTGCATCTTGTTAACAATCTTCATAGTTCAGGAAAAATAACTCGTAATGGACTCACCATCTTTTATATCGAGAATCTCAAAATCTCATCTTAAGGCTTGAAGCTGTGCATGCTTCACCCTTGATAAGCCTTAATATTTCTTTTTCATGAAATCCTATATGTCTTTTGAAGTCTCCTTGTTAAGTATAGTCTCTAAGATCGTTCGGTCTATTACTTAGAAGAGATAGTTTTTGGCCTTCAGGTCTTTCAGCTTTAAACTCTCTAATTCTATCTTTTGGACGACTGTTAACACTATTAGAGTTGATGGTTCGACCCCACTTTTGGTTTGGTTGAAGAGTCTGCAATACCTTCGTTAACCACCTACCAGTATTCTTTGGATCTCAAAAATTCTCCATCAACATGCTGTCGAAAACCATTGGAAGCCTTTTGGATATTTCCTCAAGTGTTTTGGTTGATCTGGTTCAATTCTGGGCGTTTTAGATGGCCTGGTTCAAATATGCCGGTTCAATTATGGCCAGTTCA